AGTACACGCTTAAGTACACGATGAACGAGGCATCGCAGAGGGATCCGTTTCTTTCTTTCTTTCTTTCTTTCTTTCTTTTCGATCGAAGAAGTCAGTTGGCAGTGAAACGCAACGACGTTACGATTGAAAGAAAATGTTGTTAGTAGTAAAACGAGGAATCAAATTCAATCACTCGAATTCCACACTAGAAAAACACGCACGTACTCTCCATTCTCGTGTTAATAAAAACGTTCAACTCTACACGTGATCACATCTCTAAATGCGCACACGCACGCACACACACGCATGGGCACAACACAAACTCTCTTCACTACTCTCTAATTATAAACACTTACTGAATCTTCTTATTAGATTGTAGGTGAAAGATTCGGGGGCCGTGTTCGTTTCCTCGCATCTTAGGTCACAAATCATGGCCGGATCATTTTTCGCAAATTTTAAATTCGGCACCGACAACAAACGACCCTCCCTTTTCGCCTGCCTCATCTTCACGATCTTCTTCAATATAGGCGGCCTCGACTCTTGGCTCTCGGCCAACGTCAAATTAACAGGCCTGGCCACACCTCCGTCCGACCTCTCCGCGGGGGGAGCCTCTTTCTCCCCCCGCCCGATCCATCTGTTCCTATCTGCCTGTGCGGCGTCGATCGCCACCACCGCCCTCTTCCTCGCTTCCTCCTCCCGATTCTTCCTCTTCCCCGTATCCTCGCCCGTCGGGCTTTCCCCACGCTCCGATAACGAGTCCTCAGGCGACAATGATGATTCCGACACGATACTCTCAACTGGAGACAACGAACTCGCGTTTTCGTTCACGTTACAGTAAAAAACGCAAGATTTCTGACTGCTAGTATCACTGCCTACCTGTTAACAATGGGGTACTTGTATATACTTTTTTTATCCTGTATTAATAGCCCGTCTATCCGCAATTTTCTTCGTACCAAGAAGGAACGTTATTAATGATTTTTCGATCTTTCTATGTATTTCGTTTCCATTTAATTCGAGCAAAAGAGAAAGTGGTAAAAAAAGGAAAGCAAGTATGATGAGAAGCAAGTATAATTTTATAAGATACGGGCATGTATTCGAAGTATATAAATTGTGAACAAAAAGAAACAAACGGATGGATTATTCTTATATCTTAGCTCTAGTATCTCTAAATAAGAGAAAAAAAAGAAGGGAAGAGTATGGAAGAATATGAAAAAGCATACAAGTACCCCATTCTGAGACGTGAGCAAAGCCGGCGAGAAAGTACTTTTTATTTTCAGATCAACCTTGCTGAGCTGCCTCTTCAGATTGAATCCTTTCCAACCGTGATGATTCTTAGCGCACTCTTCCTCGTTAACCGCAGATTTATTGATCTCAATCACAGATTCCTCCGCGGTTTCTCCCTTATCGTTATTGCTCCCAGTTTGATATTCGTGGCCGCGAGGCGGCGGACATTTCTGAGAATGTTGACCGTCGGCCACCATCCCTAATAATCCTTCAGATTCCGCGCCAGTGTCCCCACGAGTCTGACGGATCATTAACATGTTGGATTTTGCACATTTTGAAATTAATTTTTCGTGTATTAAATGAGAAACGTCAAAATTTTCTTTAACTCTAATTCTAAAAGCATCTTACGTATATATATGTATATGTATATACATATACATATATACACGTATATGTATATACATATATACGTTATACGCGCAACACCATTGCAATATATCGTTTGCGTGTCGGTAACGCTTTTTATCGCTATACACCGCACCGTATCTCGTCAAATTTTGTCAAGCAAGATATATATATATAAATGTAATATAATTTGATAACACGTTACTACTCGTATATTTATCTATATGAATTTCATTGTGAATATATTAAAAAAAAAAAAGAAAAGAAAACATAACGTTCAAGCTTTTTAATCATCAAACGAAGAAAATATCGCAAACGCATGGTCAGTCACTTGTCACTTCCCAAATGGACGCAGTTATCGAGAAATGTTGAGAATGAAGAGTGCAGACAAGGGAAGGTATATTCGATTGCATTTCGATGCGATGAATAAAACCTAAGATGCTCATAGAAATCAATATATCTTGATCGATGTCGATCAAATGTACTTTTGCAAAATGTTATCTCGTTTAATCGTGGTTTTTCCAAAAATTCGATCATTTCAACGTCCAATTCATTTTTTAATATTAAATTTTTAATATCGAATTCTCTATTTATAATTTATTCTTAACAACGCGCTTGCTCGATAACAAGGGAGTTATATTTCGTAATAATAACCATTTTGGCAAGAGCCAAAAAACAATCGAACCTATCTTTGAGAAAGATATCACGTTTTAAATAACTTCACTTCTGAATAAGCATGCAACGTATATATACCATAGAGGGTGTCTACAATTTTTCTCTTCAATTCATAATTTATAACCTTAAAATATGCTTACCAAATATTATTCAAATCGAGTCGATAAAAATGAATACATATTTTAATATGTATTATTATTCAATAATATTATTATTCAAATTAATTTAATTTCTCGTAATTAAATACGCGATACTAAAAAATTTCAACTACTCGATAACCGTAAAACTCTAAGATGGAAATCATGCAAGATTTCAATGTATCTAACGAGACACGTGTATATAGGTTATGTTATTAAAGTTGCGATATCTCGTGAATATGTCGGTAAAAAAGATACGAAAGATGCGAAGCTTTTCACGTACGAACTTTTATGCGAAGAAGAAAAGGGTTCTTCTTATAGCGAGGAAATCTTCGTTATCTCTATCTTTCATAGTTTTTGAATTATTAACCAACTTTAATGGTATACTTTTCGTTCATATTCGTATACACTTTGTGTGCACGTGGATATTTCTTCGCCAAGAGTGTGCAAAGAGTGAAATATTTGAATGAAGAAATCTTGCACGTATAGTTTACCGGTGAAATGAATTATAGCAGATTAATTTTTTTGCCAATAAAGCTTTTTACTAAATATACACGCATCGTTTAAAATAGCAGATATAGTTAAACCTTCGAACTTATCATCCGATATGCATGTGTATTTATCAAATATGGCTGCATAATATATATATATATTATATACTATAGTATACTTGTTACAAGCAAATTAAAAACATTCCAAAGAATTCTTAATTGATTAAATAAAATAAAAAGAAAAAAAATATATACCTTTTAAGAATTCTATAGAACGCTTCGATTTTTACTGATTTTTACTTTTTACTGATTACGATTTACTGATATGTATATTTTTATTTTATTACTTCAAATCACCTGCTATAATCGTCATTACTTGATTAATGCTGTCATTTACGGTGGTGATATATGCTTGTAGCTGAAACATTTCGTAACTTCTCGTTATAAATTTTTATAATATTGTTTTACTACCTAATATATATACTTTTATTTTATAAAATCAGATATCATCTAGAAGAAATAATCACTTACTGATACATTGATTTTTTTTAAGAAGTATCTTACCGTATTTTCCAAATTTTTAATACGATACAAAGCTATCAGATGTTACTTTTTTTTACAATTTATAATAATGATGCGCATGTGATGATATTTTGATGTATCTCATCGATGTAATACTCGACTGAAATGTTTGCGATCACTTTGCTACTTGTTGTCATGTACAACGTAAAAACAAGTAAATCACTTGAAAATTTATATATATATATATACTCTATTGTGAATTATGCAATTGATTCAAACTACTAAAATATAAATAAAATACACAGATCGTTTACATACTTTATTACGTTCTCTATTAATCATTATAAGAAGAAAGATTTATAATTTAACTAAAAATGTTAACATTGAAATACGATTTAAGTTTAATGTTGCAATGTACAAGGATAAAGTAACATTTTATACATTTATACAAACGATAAAAATATTCTCTCTAATAAATTATAATTGATATTTGTTTAAATATCGAATTAAATGCCTATTTTCAAATGATTAATAGAATACTTTTTTATGCAAAAACTTAAATATATATAAAACGACAGAAACGACATAAATAACTTTTTAAAAAAATCCATAAAAAAAAAAAAAAGAAAAAAGAAATGAAAACGAAAATATAAGGAATATATCAATATATACATATACGTAATAATACGAATAAATTTTACACGCAGCTTCGAATTAATATTATAATTATTTATATATCTCTAAAACGCTTTTTCTATCTTTGATTTTTCGTGATAAATAAATCTTGCAACAGAACACATATGTGAACAAGCACGATTATAACATAAATAAAAAAAAAAAAAAAAAAATTGTAAACATGTGTGCAACGATACGTATTTGCAAACGGGCAAATATATAAAAGATAAAATGCTTGAAAAATATACGTCTCGATCCGAATCGAAACATATTCAGCGAGAAACGCCGCCTTCGTTCCGCTTGATTTTTGGGACAAGATATTTAAAAAAAAAAAAAAAAAAAAAAAATTGTCAACATGGGGGCAACGATACGTATTTGCAAACGCGCAAATATATAAAAGATAAAATGCTTGAAAAATATACGTCTCGATCCGAATCGAAACATATTCAGCGAGAAACGCCGCCTTCGTTCCGCTTGATTTTTGGGACAAGATATTTAAAAAAAAAAAAAAAAAAAAAAAATTGTCAACATGGGGGCAACGATACGTATTTGCAAACGCGCAAATATATAAAAGATAAAATGCTTGAAAAATATACGTCTCGATCCGAATCGAAACATATTCAGCGAGAAACGCCGCCTTCGTTCCGCTTGATTTTTGGGACAAGATATTTAAAAAAAAAAAAAAAAAAAAAAAATTGTCAACATGTGTGCAACGATACGTATTTGCAAACGTGCAAATATATAAAAGATAAAATGCTTGAAAAATATACGTTTCGATCCGAATCGAAACATATTCAGCGAGAAACGTCGCCTTCGTTCCGTTTGATTTTTGGGACAAGATATTTAAAAAAAAAAAAAAAAAAAAAAAAAAAAGGAACGTTTTTGCTTTTGCATTTTTTTTCTCGGTTTTTTTTTTTTTTTTTTTTTTTCTCTCAACGATACGTTGAAACGTTGTGATACACTATATACGTTTAATTCGATCACATTGTATAGATCTTGTATCGTTGTGAATCGACTGCTATGTGTGTACATGCACACCAAACGTTCGTGTGAATAAATCGACCAAACGTGTAAATTTTTTACATGGGGAATATCATTAAAAGCGGTACACAATATGATTAACGACAGTTGTTGGAAACTAATTTATCATCGTGTTACTTGTTCTGCTTCTCGTTACTACGTATTTAACATCGATCGAACTTCTAAATACGATTGAAAGCTAATGATAAAACATTATCTACCGCTTAACTAACCTACTTCTGTCGAACTTCCGTTCATTTCTCGAAATAAAATAATAACAATATGGTTATCGCATATCATCCATATCATCAAACGAAAATAAAATTTTCTAGCTGCTTTTCTTTAAACGAAAAAAATTATATATTGCTCTTACTTGTTTCAACGTGGGTAGACACATAGTTAGCTAAACATTAAATGCAATAATAAGCATGATTATGATGAAGAGATTCGTCGTTTCTTTATCAAGAAATAAAAAGTGTGTATATATATATATATGTGTGTGTGTGTATGTACGAAAGTGACTTTGTTAAAAATATGCAACGCGCGTGGAAAATAAAATAAAAATTTACCTAATAAATCGTTTGGTTGGAATGATCGATCTCGGATGATGTGAATAATAATAATAATAATAATTTTGAATTGAAAAGTGATTTATATAAATGTAAGTCACGACTAAACTTCAATTCTCTCGGCACATGGAAAATGACAAGTTTGACCACTAGTTGCCGATAATATTCTCGTTTGCTACTTAAAATTCAACAATTCGTATAATTTCGTATATTCGAAAAAATTTTTCTGCTAAATTTTAATATCTCTAAGATTCCAAGCAGAAAATATATATATATGTATATATTGTTTAACACGATTCGAATTATAATTTCGACAAGATTATTTTTTAATTGTTGTTGAATTGTTTTACAACGAATTGTTCGATATTATCTCTAGCAAAATAATTATTTATTGAAAAATATATTGTAATAAAAAAAAAATAAAAATTACGATATCTTTTGACTCGCGTATCGTCTATTTATAACTATCGAATAATTTACGAAATGTAAAAGATAAATTTCATGTTTAATAATACATTTAATATTAACGAAACCAATAATAGTGTTAATTTGATAAAATTTATCATGAGAAAAACGAAGGATTCCAATACTTTTTCAGAAAAAAAAAATTATAAATAATAAATGTTTAAATCTTGTTTTCTTAAACATCTAACAAAATTGTTCGTACAGGCAATTTTCTGCTTGGAATTTATGAAAATAATATAATAATTATATACTTACTTAACTATTAGAATTTCTATTTAGAAACGATGGGTTAGTTAGAAGCATCTTATGAATTAAAATAACGCATGACAATTATGAGATATAAGAAAATAAAAAAAAAAAAAAAAAAAAAA